ACTAACCTTTGAAATTTATTCGTGCTCAACCTGAAACTTTTCTAGTTTCAGTGGGCAATTTTTGATCCGTCCCAATTGCTTTAATGGCTGAGAAATCGACGCGCGAGCGAGAATTATCTTCAGTTGAATTATCGACGAGGTTTGTTGCGGACGGAACTCTTTCCTGTTGTTATTTTCGTATACACTGACTGGGAGCTGCGAGTAAAATTATTGTTTCATGATGAGCAAACGTGAGGCATTTACTAATTCCGTTGTTAGGAGGCAAGTTTCATAGTAATATTTGGGGGTACACGCAATCAATGCTGGTATCTAGGGTAACTTAGAGACAATTTTATAGAGTCCACTAAAAAACTTAATTCGTATTCTGACTCGAGCTTATGATATATGATATACGTCAACCAGCAAACCTAGAGACAATTCTTAGAGACAATTTTAGTCCACTAATAAACTTAGTTCGTATTCTGACTCGACGTATTTTCTTATGAAATACACATCAACCATCCTATCGCGTGTATTAAGTTTTGCAGGGTATCAATTCATGCGCTAATTAAACACGTTCTTATCTCCAACGGAAGAAGGCATGGACGTCTGTTGCTGGAAGCTCCTTTCTTTGCCCAGCAGAACCTGCATTTGAAGGGCAAAAAAGTTCACAAAAATGAAGCGAGGATCCGACGACTGGTGGTTATCTTGCAACGTCCTGCCGGATCCTGCGACAGCGCGGGTTCCTTGCTGTCCATTCAGCGTGTCCTTTATCATTTATTCTATTCTTCATTACGTAACTACCACGGAAATTGTTTTACTTGCGTCATGTATGCTATATTTGTCGTATATTTCCTTGGCCCACGTTCACGAAGTTTGCTATGATATGCTATAGTTTGCTATGGCCATCAGTGATTCTATGATCATATCCTTAATAAAAGGGATGAAAAGAATTATAACATCAAATGATGTTAATTCTTCGATCATTTGCTTAAAATAATAATAATAATATTGATAAAAATATCATCGTAATATTATACAATGGTAACTCATTCACTTAACAATAGTGATGATAGTAATAACAATATCATTATAATATCATACAATGGTAACTCATTCACCATTCACTTAATAAGAGTGATGATAGTAATAACAATATCATCATAATATCATACGAAATTAATTCTTAGATCATTCACTTAGCAGTATATCATCTGTCTCTTATACACATCTAGATGTGTATAAGAGACAGNAGATTAGAGTTATTAGTCCCACATTGAGGTAAATAGGAACGTCTTCTTCCCACAACGATACTTTCCAGTGCGAAGTCAGTGTGAGTGCACCGTCACGTTTTTTTCAACAACATAGTATCACATCACCACAACACCACCACCACCACCACCACCACCATCACCAACACCACCACCACCACCACCACCACCACCACCATTATCATCACCGATAAACAACAACAACGACAACCACACTATCAAGTTTGGCCTTAATTACCTGAAGTAACTGTAGTCGTCAACTAATCTTTATCGTTTTGAAATGAACCGTTTATTTATGGTGATACTTGCTAATTTATCATATTGGAAAAAGTGCAATTAGGCTCTGAATATTTAAAAAATAGAAAGCTATAATATTATTATTTATCAATATTAATTATTTTTATTGCGTAGATTGGTAATTATTCAGGATAAAAAAAAACAACGAAAATAAATAAATCGTGGTCCGAAAATCACAAAAATAGAAACTGGTGTCCACCAAGCAGGAAGCAGCCAGCACCATAGCTATGACAAAAAATAAATTAGTTTCCCCAGCAGATTTCATTTTCTAATGATTAGTCTTAGAAAATGGTTTGATAATATACTGAAATAAAGATGAAAACTTGCAATAATACGCAAAGTGCAATCATTATTGGATGTAGTTCTAATAAGATCTTCAAATGATAACTTTAATTGCTAGATAACTTTAAATTACATAAAAATCTAAATTTAAAAGATAACTTTAATTAAATTTAGTTTTATGTAGCGCAAATTATACACGGCCGCAAATTCCCGTTATTCATATAAATTTCCAACGTCCAAAGAAGCAAATTTTGCATCCGTGTAAACTTTAATTTTAGACATACATTATGATACATATATAGTCGAATTTCTTTCTCCAGATTTTTATCTATTCTTCCGAAAAAAACTTTATAATTACACTGGAAAATATAAATATTTATTTTATCAATACTATGCTTTTGATTGGTTCAGAAGCCAATTTAGCTCCTTGAGACACGGTGACCTGGATTAGTGTGAAAAAGCATATTTGGATTTGTGTAGTTGTTCCCATAATAATCAGAGGATGGTTACAAAATTTTTACGCTTGTATAAATTACAAAGAGGAAAATGGTTTGGCATATTTCGGTTTAAACAAACCATCAGAGTTGTGCGTGCAACTCTAAAAGGACACTTATTATATCATGAAATGAAACTGATACATAAGAAAACGTGCAGGACAATACTCCCACCGGCTATTCAGCGAGTAATTAACACAACTCATAGCGATATTCCGGCAGAATTTCCGTTGAATATAATTTAGAACTAGATTATGACCTAGCGATGCTTGCCCACTATCAGTAGCTGCTCCTAATATTCTTCATTCATTATTCACAGAGGATCACGCAAAAATATACATAACAAGAGACCATCGAAAATTTAAAGAAAAAATACAAAATGCTTCTTTGTGAATGCCTATATATAAGCTAAAAAGCTTCACAGGCGTGTCATTGCTGAAGAAGACTGCTTTAGTTGTCTTCTCTTATAAGTCAACTTTATTTTAAAATTCATCCAAATCGGAAAATATCTTTTCCTCTCCTAAACCTTCCATATATTAATTATCTCTTAAATGTTCAATTTCCTCTGCGATTTATTTTTTCGTTGCCCATGCTCCCCAGTCGACCATATTTAAATGGTGTCCTCTTCTCATTACTCCGTTGTTTCTCACACTCAATAGGTTCTTTTCTGCATTAAATTGATTAATTAAATGAATTAATTAATTCGAATTAATATTAGTTATCAAATTAATCTATTATGGTTTGCGCACTCGCCTGTGTCGGTGAGACGAGAAATTTAGGGCATCTGTCTCACACAGTCAGACGAGCATGTCGCTTCTTGTGTCTAGCGTTCAAAGTGAGCCGCGAAATCAAACGAGTTCCTAAATCATGTCTTATTGAGAAGAAAGAATCACACGACGGTAATACGTCTACTAAAGGATTCTACTACTAGGGTTACTTAAATATTCGAGCAATCTATCTACTAGGGTGATACGTTTAATAAGGTATTCAGTCCATAATTTTCCATTATTGTGTGTATAACATTGGTGCTTGGTCACCACGAGAAGTTGGGTCAAGGGAATTTTTCGTAAGTTAGATTCGTCATTTTTGTACAGACCTCCTGATTAGTGAATGTTATACAAGGTCAGACTAGGATGAACACTTTAACGCCCTAATTCATTTCAAAGTATCCTTCTCAATTGTGGGCACTTTTTCGTTTTCTATTAACTGTTGATAACGCTTATGAAATGCCTTTTGAGATAAAAAAATAGATAGAAAAATTGCTGCTGATTGCGATTATCTGAACTGATAAATTCATTTGAAAAAGTGAAACACCATAAAGGTGCAAAGTTGCTTCAAAAAATAAGTTCATCTCCAGAAGAAAGAAAAAATTTCACAAGGAGTGAAAACTTCCACGTTTTTTTAATTTTAACGAAAAAAGCTCGAGATCACAATGAGTGCAGGAAATATCAGCTGAAAAACTCAATTAATTTATATATATATATTTTTTGATTTACAAGCAATGGATAGAAAATATTATTAGATTAATTAAAATGCAATTGGCGGATTTCATATGAAAAAACAATGAGCATATTATTCATAAATGTTAGAATATTATTTACGAAATCTCGTACCTCTTTTCAAGGAATATCATGAACAACAATTGTATTAATATTCAGTTTCATAATTATCTGTATTTTACAAAATTGAATAGGTAATTAAATGCTTATTTTAAAATCCGCAGAGTTTTTTACTGGGAGCTCTAAAATGTAAAATCGGTGCATGGTAGCGATAGAATGAACACAGGCCATTTGCTTTGATGTAGGTGCACAGTAATCCATATATTAATATTATTATAATAATTAATAGATGACTATTATTCAAATTCTGTTTATCTTGGTTATTTTTCCCTGTTGAAGTTGATGAAGGAATAGCTTTAAAATTAATTCGACATCGGGGCTGAGGAATATTATCATAATATTATTATTATTATTATGAGTGAGATTATTAAGGTATTTACATGATATGTAAGCATGAAACACATTTTTTTAAACAATTCCTTCCCATACCAATTGAAATTGGAGGTAACAAAAATGTATAATTCCGAGTAGATCTTCAATAATAATGATAAATATCAGGTATAATATCTTGGGATATAGAAATAAAAAATAAAAATACAGAAGCTGTTTGGAATACATCTAACTAGTGATGACCGAGAACTGTTTAAACTCTTAATTCTGGCATCAACACAGGCTTTAAAGTGGATCTTTTCAGCAGAATCTACTGAATGCATCTAAATTCACCGGATATATTCCCTGAAATTCGATTGCTATTCTTCTTAATTGAATCTCTGCAAGGTACGTAGAATTCCTTTTAGCCTCCAGAGAATTAATTTAAAATAACAATATTCTTACCGGAACATACCTTAGAAAATCGAACTAAGAAACAATCCCTGAGGTATAGGGACATGAAACCGTAAACCTAATATAATAATTAATCACATTACGTCATCAAGCACATCAGTGAAGCTCCAACCGAGAAAATTTATTTGTCAACTAATTTGCTTGTCTGAATTTCATAAAATAAACATTTTCACCAGAATTTTTCTTCCGTTACAAGCGTAAAATTCGCTAAGTGAACGCAAGTACTTACGCTCTAATTTCTTGTCTATGATTGGTGGATTTTGCTTGAAAGGCCGTCAATGATTGGCTGATGAACTTACGATATCTTAATTTTTTTTGAAATTATAGGACCAGATTTTCAGAAGCTGATCCTGAAAGCCTTGATGCAGTACGGCGAGCTGTTGACAGTAAAAGTTGCCGTGTTGCCGTTTACTGTGAAATTGACAGCGTTGCCTACTGTCTCCATGCCATCACACTCCCACACTCCCGTCACCGGCAGTAATATGTCAACACTGAAAAGTCAACATATGGCAACTATGAGGCAAAATGAGAAAACTAACATTAAGGGGAGCGTCTACCCTAAAATTGAAAATTTTCACTTTTTCGGTTTTTATACTCATTTTAAAGCTTCCCCCTTTTTTGGCCGTTTTCTAAGAATTTCACGTTTTCTTTTATTTTTTTCGAAAAATTGACACGAATAAAAGCTGTCTATTTTTTGATTTGACATATGTGTACCAAGTTTCAAAGTGATCCGTCTGTAAATAGCCGAGATAATTTTTGTGGTAGACGCTCCCCTTAACTTCCGGCATTTTAAATAGTTTTAAATTATTCTCTGTAATATAAGTGCTTGGATGAGATGGCTTTATTTGGAATAAACCAATCAAGGCAATGATGATGTAAAATGTAAACAATTTAAGAGAAGGGACTTGAATAAGTCATGCCTGAGCGCTCAGGAGTAAACAGTAAATTAACATTTCTGATATCGGATCAAGAATTAAAATCTATGACTAGTCAAAAAACTAGAAAGATGCACTGATTTACGACGTAATTGCCATTAAAAAACTAGAACTTTAAGTCACTTTATTTGAAAGTTGACTTGAGCACAACATGAAATGTTATTTGATAGACGATGTATATTGAAATGGAAATGTGCTAGATAATCCGGATATCAAAACACGGAAACATAAATAATCAATGTATAAATAAATAATGAATATTACATTAATTTCAAGTCAATACAAAGAAATATAACCATCAATGTATAAATAAATAATAAATATTACATTAATTTCAAATCAATACAAAGAAATATAATAATCAATGTTTAAATAAATAATATATATTACATTAATTTCAAGTCAATACAAAGAAATATAATCATCAATCTATAAATAAATAAATAATGAATATTACATTAATTTCAAGTCAATACAAAGAAATATAACCATCAATGAATAAATAATGAATATTACACTAATGCATAAATAAATAATGAATTTTACATTAATTTCAAGTCAATATAAAGAAATATAATCATCAATGTATAAATAAATAAGAAATATAACATTAATTTCAAGTTTGATTCGTACACCGCGCTAAATAAAACAACGTCGCGCATGCGCAGCACTCACGTGGCTGCGCCGCGGGTGCCCGCGCTCTCGTAGACGCGCAGGACGACGTCGCCGCTGCCGTCCTCGGCGGGCTTGACGGTGTGCAGCACCACCCCCGCCCCCCGCACACCCGCCCACGACACCGACGTGCTGGTGGTGGTAGCGTCGTGAACATGGGTGATCATGCATTAATATGAGTTGTGAACATGGATAATTATGTCATGAACATGCGTTGTGAACATGGGTAATTCTGTTATTAATATGCGTTGTGAACATGGGTGATTATGTTGTGAACATGGGTAATTATGTTGTGAACATGCGGTATGAACATGGATAATCATGTTATGAATAAGCACTGTGAATATGGATATCATGTCATGAACATGCGTTATGAACATGGATAATCATGTTGTGAACATGCGTTGTGAACATGGATAATCATGTCACGAACATGGACAATCATGTCATATGCGGTTATTATCAAGAAATAACGAGGCTTTTAAAGAAGCATACAACATGCGAGTTGAACATTCTTCGGCGTCCTGGAACTGAATCAACCAGGTGAAGTAATAGTAACTCAAAAAATGTACCAGTTTTCTCTTTTTTTAAATGAAACCTAATGTAATAAGGCCCAGGGCTGTACGCTCGTTTTCATAAGCAATTTTCGAACACTTAACTCAGTGGAGGCCTAAAACATGACGGAGGCCACACCATTTATCACCAGTGGCAAATTCTGGTGGCGTTCCCCTAACGCACAAATCCCTCTCAATATTTAAGCATGTTTTCTCCATATTTAGCCTCATTCGACGTGCTGGTGGTGGGTGGTAGTGTTGTGAACATGGGTGATTATGTTGTGAACATGGATAATCAGGTCATGAACATGGACAATCGTGTCATATGCGTTTATTATCAAGAAATAACGAGGCTTTTAAAGAATCATAAAACATTCGAGTTGAATATTTTTCGGCGTCCATGAACTGAAACAACCAGGGCAAGAAATAGTAACTAAGAAAAAGTGCTAGTTTCCTCTTTACTTACATTAAGCCTAATGTAATAGGGCCTAGGGCTGTCCGCTCGTTTTCAAAAGCAGTTTTTCACCAGAGGCTAATTTCAGTGGCGTTTCCCTAACGCAAAAATCTCTCTCAATATTTAAGCATGTTTTCTCCATCTTTAGCCTCATTGAGTGACCTATAGAGCCTTGTATTTATGACATGACTCTGATTCTGTGACGTCATGAATCAAAGAATGAATTATCTGACTCAACTAGCGAACACACCCTGTGGGTACCGCGGTCCTAGGGAGCAGTTCCAGCCTCACGGGGTTGTTGAACTCATAAGCGCGCTGCACGACTTCGCTGCCTTGCAGGGGACCTTAAGAACAAATATTACAAGAGTATATTAGTATATTAACTATTTAAAGATAAATTAATGGGAACTTTACGGTTTTGGCCCATATAAGGAGGAAAATTAGAGTTATAAGTTCAAGATGAGCGAGTTTGTTTTTAGTTCAAGTCACTGACCCTGGTAGGGCATGAGGGCGTAGGAGAAGGAATGGTCGCCCATGTCAGCGTCAGCATCAGGAGCTTTGGGCGCCTTGAGCAGCGTCAGCGTCAGCGTGGAGTCGCGGCCGCTCCAGCCATACTTGCTGCTGCTTAGCACAGCCACGCCCCAGTCGCCCTCCGTCAGGCTTGCGTACCTGTTAGGCCGGGGGGCGTGTATACCATGTGTGGTATGGTGTGGTAGTACCGTGTCATGGTGTGGTAGTACCGTGTCAAGGTGTGGTAGTCAGCCATACTTGCTGCTGCTCAGCACAGCCACGCCCCAGTCGCCCTCCGTCAGGCTTGCGTACCTGTTAGGTCGAGGGTGTGTATAGACCATGTGTGGTATGGTGTGGTAGTACCGTGTCATGGTGTGGTAGTACCGTGTCATGGTGTGGTAGTCAGCCATACTTGCTGCTGCTCAGCACAGCCACGCCCCAGTCGCCCTCCGTCAGGCTTGCGTACCTGTTAGGGCGGGGGGGTGTATAGTTCATGGTAGTACCGTGTCAAGGTGTGGTAGTCAGCCATACTTGCTGCTGCTCAGCACAGCCACGCCCCAGTCGCCCTCCGTCAGGCTTGCGTACCTGTTAGGTCGAGGGTGTGTATAGACCATGTGTGGTATGGTGTGGTAGTACCGTGTCATGGTGTGGTAGTACCGTGTCATGGTGTGGTAGTCAGCCATACTTGCTGCTGCTCAGCACAGCCACGCCCCAGTCGCCCTACCTAGCTTAGGCTTGCGTACCTGTTAGGGCGGGGGTGTGTATATCCGCATGACTCACTTCCAGCTCACCAGTGTCGTGACTCACTTGTGACCGCATGACTCACTTCCAGCTCACCAGTGTCGTGACTCACTTGTGACCGTATGACTCACTTCCAGCTCACCAGTGTCGTGACTCACTTGTGACCACATGACTCACTTCCAGCTCACCAGTGTCGTGACTCACTTTTGACCGCATGACTCACTTCCAGCTCACCAGTTTCGTGACTCACTTGTGACTGTATGACTGTATGACTCGCTTTTAGCTCACCACAATCATGACTCACTTGTGACCGCATGACTCACTTTTAGCTCATGACTATCATGACTCACTTGTGACCGCATGATTCACTTCCAGCTCATCACTATCATGACTCACTTATGCCCACATGACTCACTTGTGACCGCATGACTCACTTTTAGCTCATCACTATCATGACTCACTTGTGACCGCATGACTCTCTTCCAGCTCACCAGTATCATGACTCACTTATGACCGCATGACTCACTTCCAGCTCATGACTATCATGACTCACTTGTGACCGCATAACTCACTTTTATCTCATGACTCTCATGACTATCATGACTCACTTGCGACCGCATGACTCACTTCCAGCTCATGACTATCATGACTCACTTGCGACCGCATGACTCACTATCATGACTCACTTGTGACCGCAGACCTCGTACTTGGCGGAGTCCCACGACGTGTTGACGACCGTGGGGCGAGTCAGGGACCCGAACTGCGTGTCGTAGGTCGCGTAGGTCGCCAGCAGGCTCGTGTCGAACCCAACCTGCGCATACCAGCTCGTGAACACGGCAATTTCATGGCACCAACACAATGTGTCACGAATAAAGGAATAATTGTTGCAAACCCGACCTGCACATACCAACCGAGCTCGTTAACACGGTAGTTTCGAGGCACCAACACAATGTGTTACGAATAAAGTACATAAAAAGATCAGGCTCGAAAGGCCGGATCCCTTGTGAATCAAGTCACGAAAAATTCAAGAATCGGCAACAGGCCACAGGCCTATTTCTTCAGTGCCGACACTTCTATTCTATTCTATTATAACCCGACCTGTACATACCAACCGAGCTCGTGAACACGGCAATTTCGAGGCACCAACACAATGTGTTACGAATAAGGGAATAATTGTTGAATTCGAGCGATGTATTATATATACTAGCTCATAAAGAAACAATATGAATAATATTAAAGACTGTACCAGATGAATATTGAGACATGTGCGAATACGTGTCCGTGAATCATGAGATCTATGGTTGTGGGAGAACGGACACGTTTTGTGGCAGTAACACATGAAACGTGAAGTTCAAGTAGCGTGAATTAATTTAATTACACGTAAAACATGAGTGTCAAGGAGCGTGAATACGTTTGGTGCGCCCATAACACGTATAGGTGCAATTTAGTGTGGAAAAACGTGAGGATGTGAGGAGAAAATACCGCGTTTTAAAATCAGTGGTAAAATAAAATGTTTCGTTATTAGCGCATTTCCTCATTTATGGAAAAATACCCGATTTTGCTCGTCATGTCTGTCCGTCCGTCCGTTTGTCCTTGACTTCAAGTTTTCGTCGATTTTGAGGAAATGCGCTCTCTGTCACTCACTGCAGTTAGTGAGTACTGAGTTATATTTTCTTGCTTATATAGCTTAAAGTACCGATGTTATGACATTACGCATATAATTATTTATGTAATCAATATATTTAACTAGATACTAACTATTAGTAATGTTTCAGTCATGTCTATATATTAAACATGTTTTACAGGTACATCGGGTGAATTGAAAAATTGATCATGTTTGTATAAATATTAACATTGCGTCTTACATTGCGTGAATAGAAAAAAATTGATCATGTTTGTAACTACAAGTATGTTAATGAGTTGTTTTGACCTTGAGCAGCTTGCGGTTCTCGGCCCAGTTGACGGAGGTGGTGAAGGTGACGTAGGGGCAGTCTGCGGTGAGGGAGATCTCCTGTAGGAGGGAAGACTCGCGCCCCACGGAGCAGCCCCAGGACACGGAGCACCGCAGGGCGTTAACCTCCTGCACCACCACCGGGGTGCCCACCGCCTGACATGTTATATTTACTAATTAATGTGCAATTGTTATGTTAATTAAATATAATAAGAGCAGCCCCAGGACACGGAGCACCGCAGGGCGTTAACCTCCTGAACCACCACCGGGGTGCCCACCGCCTGACATGTTATATTTAATAATTAATGTGCAATTGTTATGTTAATTACCACCGCCTGATATGTTATATTTACTAATTAATGTTCAATTGGTGTGTTAATTACATATAATAAGAGCACCTCAGGACACGGAGCATCGCCGGAGGCCAATGTTTTACATCGTTACCGGAGTACCCACCGATTTTCATACTCGTATTTCGTCATTAATGGGTCTTTTGAATTGTACATATGAAAAGCGCCATAATTGCTCCCAAATAATGTTAGTTCATCTCACTTGGTGGCATCTCATTAGGGTAGATATGCCATTTATTACCGCGTAGATAATTAAACAACTTCAGGTAGTTGATCCTTGTCATTATCTTGCGGGTTCCCCAGCATCCTCACCATGAATATAATACCTGGTCATTGAGGCAGGTCTCGGTCTCGAGATGGTAGTCCATGACGTCCCAGGCGTCCCAGTACAACGGCTGGTCGTCGTACAGCAGAATACGGTTGCCAGTGGACGTCGTCCCGTCCACCGTCCTGAACACGTCCCTGTCTGACCCGTCCACGGTCAGGCTCGTCACTTGACCCGTGCTGGAGATGACGACACGTACCAGCCCGTTGGACAGCACGAAGCTTCCATTGGATGTTTCTGAAGGAATATTAAATTGATTTTTGTTAGTCACGTATTAAATAAAACGAATTAGGAGGCTGTAAGAAAAAGAACGGTATAGACTATAAAAACACATTTCCGATGAACAGCAGTGGTTAAGGAGTAACACGGAGAAAAGGTGTGTAAAAGATGTGAGACGATTGGCATGGACCACCATTGCAAAAATGGTGGCGTGAAAATATGGTGTAAAAAGTTTTTATGCGAGGATAAACTTAAGAAAAGTTTGCAGGAGGTGTGTGAGGTACTGGTGCAGATAGGAGATCACTACTAGAAATGTGCTGGGAGTTTAAATGTGGAGGTCAAAATTTGAATTAACATTCTCTCTTCATACCTTCACGGGAAGGTATGAAGAGGGCATTAGAAGGCAAGGATTGGTATGTAGATATGACTCAATATTATAGAAGACATGTGAAGGCGTACAATAAACCAATGCGAAGTATGTAAAAAATAGTGGGAGGGCATAAATGAAGAGGCGAGGGTAATTCATGAATCAATTGAAGACAACACAGCGAAGACAGACCCAGAGTGACGGGATGGTCTGGTGTGACAGGGTCGGCGGCTGCGTAACCAAATGCAGGAGCAGACACAAGGGAGTAGTTGGCCGCTCTTTCTCCGGCCAAACCTTCAGAAGTTATGGCCGACTTGAGGGCGGCCAAGTCGACCACCTCTCGCCGACCCCACTGCAGCGTGTTGAAGGCAACCACTTGGTCCTTGGCTCCGCCTCCTGGGTACGCAAGAAGTTAATTCTTTGCTCCAAGGGCGGCAATGATAACGAAGATATAAAGTCAAATGGAAGCATCAAGTAAAACTTAAATGTTGCGATTAAAGGAGTTTTCAATAGAAAAACGAACAAGAAGAGTAAACTTATGAACAAACTGACCTATTTTCGGGTCATCAATAGGACGACATTGTCAATAATCCAAGCATTATTACGTCATTCCGGTATCAGATTTATAGCATAAAATTAAATGAATGCCTCGAAGGAATATATTCACCAAAGATGGCGGACAATGAGTCATTCCAGACATTCAAGATGGCGGCGTTGGCCTCCTGGTAGGCGATGGTGGCGTCTTCGTAGACGATGCCGATGGCGGAGCCCGGCACGATGTCGTGGAACTGATTTAGCAGCAGCTTCTTCCACGCACCGTCCAGCTTTGGCAGCGAGCTGAATGTGGTAATGTTCACATAATTTGTTCAATGTTCACATAAATGTGGTAATGTTCACATAATTTGTTCAATGTTCACATAAATGTGGTAATGTTCTAAGTGAATTATTATACATTAACAAGGTGTAATTTTTTCTCTATTATTGTAAATGTTTATTAAATCGTATTATTCAACATGAATTCAGCGATTTGAACATTTCTCTTGTGATTTTGAAACCCACAATTTCTAACGAAGGAATCCCCATTAAATACTTTAGGCAGATGAATTTCTGGACAGATAATTGGGAATTTTAACTCAAATCTGTCTGGTGGTTAAATATTCAATGAACGGACGAATGAACGAGTTAAGCTGATTTGTAAACTTAGCGGCTTGTTAGTAAAATATGAACTAAATATTAATCCTGTGCAAATAACTACGCATGATGGAGCACATTTTAAGTATCAAATATGCGTAATACATTCGAAATTTTATTTGACACTGAAAATATTTGCTTTCAGTTAGAGTTCTACATATCTATAGAAATAAATAATTGTGTTCATGAAAGCAAGGAGTGCGAATGATAGACCAAAGCAATGATAAATTTAACCATAACTCTCATTCTCCTCGATTACCTCGGTTGAAGAACCACCCGATTCTCTGTACGTTGAGGTAGCGTTCTATTCGTCTCCTTACCATTCCCTTGCAACTTCCACCCTTCCTTCCACCAAATAACCCCCCCCTCCTCCTCTCCCTCCTACCAAATCCTCCCCATCCTCCGCTCCTCGGAGTCTCGTGCGCGCAATTACCGCTTCCTGGCAAGCCTCCCGCGACATCCTGGGCCTGGGGCGTCTAGGGAGTTCACATAAATGTGGTAATGTTCACATAATTTGTTCAATGTTCACATAAATGTGGTAATGTTCACATAATTTGTTCAATGTTCACATAAATGTGATAATGTTTTACATAATTTCAGGTTAAATATGGCAACATTCATATATCGTGTTGCAAAAAATTTTAGGTACATACACCTTTTTACAGGTGGTGAGGAAATTATTCTAAATTTTTCAACATCACCAATGTTTCGACGAACAATTTTATAGGTTCACAATCACGTGGCAATATTTAACAGGATGCTGAATAATAATTACAATTTTTAACAGTATGTTTGCTGAATAACATAATACAATAACATGTTCATTGAGACGTAGAATGTTTGTCTCTATCGTAATGTAGTCAATAAACTCTACAGTGTTGGTCCCACTTAGCAAGTTTAATAATACTTAGCAAGCAGTATTATATAATAATATATAATAATAAATAATACTTAGCAAGCAGGTCCCCGGCAGTAGCCCCCGCGGCGGCGACGCACAGCAGCAGCTCAGCGTCACGCAAGGCGAACTCCGTCGCGCGGCACAAGCGCTTCATAGCCGCCTATAGGGTATATATAGCAAGGAATAACAGGAATATTATAAGTTAAGTTATAAGTTAACTTCATATAATAATGTAGAATAACTTATAAGTCATATTTCTTAGCGACGCAGAGCGAACTCCGTCGCGCGGCACAAGCGCTTCATGGCCGCCTATATAGGGTATATATAGCGAGGAATAACAGGAATATTATAGGTTTTATACGTTAACTTCATGTAATAAGTTTTAACTTAAGTTATAAGTTAACTTCATATAATAATATAGAATAACTTATCAGTCATATATCTTAGCGACGCAGAGCGAACTCCGTCGCGCGGCACAAGCGCTTCATTGCTGCCTGGGGTAGCGAGGAATAACATGAATAAGTTTTAACTTAAGTTATAATTAAGTTAACATCATATAATAATATAGAATAACTTATAAGTCATATTTCTTAGCGCCCTCTGCTGCCTAGGGTAGCAAGGAATAACATGAATATTATAACTTATAACTTAACTTCATATTATAATATAGAATAACTCATATCATAAGTCAAGTTTCTAAATGCTGTATGTATACATAATAATAAGCTATGCTTAGTAAGTTTTATGTGTGTAATAAATAATTATGTTCATTAAGGCTGAATTTAATATATTGAAGAAAAATTTTCTGAGAAAGCCGGGCACATTTGAATTTTATTAAGAAAATAAAACATATTTTTATTTTAAGAACACATTATCTCGAGAGTCGTCAGTTTTCCAAACAGTAAAATAATGAAAGATGATTGCAAATAATACATAATTTTGTTGAGTGTTGATGTCTAAAAACTTGATCTTGTCTCATTATTTAAAATGAAGCCTAAATCTCGTGCTAGGCCTAAATACACGGAATGTAGGTGCCAGTGTCATGTAGGTGCCGTGTTCTTACCTGTGTCGTGTAGGTGCCGTGTTCTCACCTGTGTCGTGTAGGTGCCGTGTTCTCACCTGTGTCGTGTAGGTGCCGTGTTCTCACCTGTGTCGTGTAGGTGCCGTGTTCTCACCTGTGTCGTGTAGGTGCCGTGTTCNGGGCATCCCGCAACCTGTGATTGAGGCATCGGGAGGGGAGGCACAATCCAGGAGGTGCTAGGGGTGGATGAAGGGAATGAAGAGCGTGGTCGGCTTGGGGGTGAAAAAGATGGTTATGCGAAGGATGTTGAGGACTGCACATGGACCTTAAGTAGTAGACAAGATGCGTAGGAAATCCAATTGGTTAACTAATGTAAGTTATTAGTATAAGGGAAGAACAATTATGAACCTTCCACGTGTAACAGGAAACACCGCAGCGAAGTTGAAATATTTACGGGTAGCGTGCCGACTTGGTGTAGACTTTCGTACTGATCCTAAACACAAGGGCTAAAGTGTCGCTCTTTGGTCCGGCTCTAAATTCCCTTGCGTTGGAGAGAGGAAGAATGAACACAAGGAACTTTCCGTAGTATACCCGTAATCTTCGGGCCAATTACAAGTTTCTTCATACGAGGCGCACAATTTATTATCCTTCTTAGACCAAAAGTTCACGGAAGAAGGCTTGACACTTCAGGAGTACAAACAGCCGAGAAACTACACAGTATGAGCCCTAATACACAGCTGAAAATAACAAAATGGATAGCAAATGGTACGGGAACTAACCGCACCGTGATGCCAACGACCAGCCGCAGAGACTAGGGGTTCTAGCCCTAATACACCGCCAAATTACAAAACGGATGGCAATGATACGGGAACTAACCGCACCAAGATGCCAACGACCAGCCGCAAAGACTAGGGGTTCTAGCCCTAATACACTGCCAAATCGCCAAACGGATAGCAAATGATACGAGAACTAATCGCACCAAGATGGCAATGACCAGCCACTGAGACTAGGGGTTCTAACCCTAATACACTGCCAAAAACACAGAACCGGGGTGGCAGTTACACCTCAAAAGCACGACTATTGAAGAGTACGAGCCTCCAATAAGCCGCTGACAATTTACTCGAGCGCAGAGGTTATTAGCCTCCACCACGAGGGTGCGAATTGAACGGCTGTTAACCGCCCAACGCAGCTAAAACCTGGAGCTATCCAAGAACTCCACCTATACGCCGCTATTAGTCCGTTAGAGGAACTCATTAAGAGTTATGCCAGAACTGCGGTGTAGTTTATTCTAGGAAGCCAAAATTTGGCTCTGCCTGTTTCGAGTCGAAACCGTGTCACCCCAACCCAGTAACACTAAGCACACACACCTTCTGAGCACACACAACGAGGGGGTAACTCAGCCAAAATGAGCTTACCTCAACATCCCGTTTACAATGTACCAGAAATGGGCTACTAAATCGTCTATATGCAAAAAAATTATATAGTATATTATAATAAAATAGAATCATAATATAATCCTTTGGTCACATAAGGAACAGTGAAAGTTGATACATTATAGAAAAATCTCGAGGATAATTAACTCGCGAGCGCATGAGTCGATACCAGTTCGTCAATGGACTAGACAAATGAACATTAACTAAGCATTTTCAAATACCATGAGCAGTATTATCACCTAATAAAATTATATTAATAAAGTTTATCCTTTCAACAACATGACTACAGCTTCAATCGACTTCTTATATAACTTCTACATCTAAGATGTCTAGCTTCCTTACGCAAGATGGCGATGCATCCATCTTTACTTTAACGATGATATCGTAGATCGACAGCACTTATTCCCGTTCAACAGTAAATCATTAGGATTATAACAAAGATAAAATCCTTTGACAAAATAATTGCACATTAAAGTGGATAAATCATATGTCAAGTAATAATTTCCAATCAACATATCAAAGAAATAAGTCTCAACGTCTCAGGGCTAGCAGACGACGCGTGGCGCCTAGCAGACGATTGTAACGCAACGCTACCGACTGACAATATCACAGGAAATGAGATTCCTTGTTGCAGTCACTAAATAAAAATACGCCTACGCATTCCTTAGTCATAAAAAATATAATATCAGAGTAACGAGATTCCATATTCTAGGCATAAAAATATATTCAATCAATTCGAGCCACTAGCCTAACAAAAGAACATTATCAAAATAACGCGTGGTCAAAAGGGTACTCCTAAAAATAGAAAATATCACAATATTCATACCGCCACACACGCAAACACTGACAGAAAATTCTACCTTGTCAACTAGGTTTCCGTTTCGTTTTAACTCGTTATAAGCAATGATTCCTCACTTCATGCCTGCCATTTGAATAGGATGCATCATAGACTGCCAATTGATAACTCCATGCTGCCTACAACAGATAGACCAACTGACTTGCCACCAATGGGGCTACTCATTCATGAATAAAATAGCCTGAAGCTTCCTCCTTCCTGGGGCTATTAATTCAGGCCAAAAATGATTAATCTTAGAAGGCTAAACGAGCCACTCACGTGCCACTCATGCTGTAGCTCTCCCCCGGGGGGAAGTGAGCGAGCACCTCAGACCCGTCGATACCCCGCCAGGTGAAGTTGTGGTGGGGGAATTTGTTGACGAAGCTCCAGCTCATCTTCTGCGTCAGGAACCGCGACAGCCCCATATGCTGGAAACGAGGGGAAGAATATTACCTTCGTCACTAACTGTAACAGCCCAACGTACAGGGATAGAGTATCGGCTTTTTAGTTCATCAGTACCTGACAGAAGTCCATGTGCTTGAGGGACGGGTAAAGGGGTACTGACTGCGCCAGGTAGAGTGATAGCCCATGTTTTGGGCTGGAAGAAATGGGAGTTTACTGCATCAGGGAGCGAGATACACCCATGTGCTGTGGCACAAAAAAAAATATTCACTTCTACATGGCATCATATGAGCAAAATTGTTTAATCATATAATGAATGTCACTAGTAAATAGCGGAAAATATGACTAAACTGACTAAAAATCTTTCCTGGACTATGGTTAATTCATATTGTGTATCTCTTCGTTCACTGACAATTGCGAGCTACTGCCCAGTCGGAATCCAGATTCAGGAGCGCCGGAGGCTCGCCATAGCCGCCTTAGATGCAAATCAGACGCCAATCGGCCGCCTATCATAAGCGGCTACTAATTGGGAGCCGTTTTCGGGAGTCACATGCTCTAGGAGCCGAATTTGCATAAGACAGCCGAAATAAGCGGCCGAACAGATTCTCCCACGCTCATTCTTCTCAGTAGCTGACACGAGTTCTGAGCGCGAGCGTGACCAGCCCCTGATTCAGAAACTCAGACGATGCAAAAGTAGGCGCACGAACTTCTACACGCGTGCGTTTTACCATCATGCATTGCGTGTTCGTCAACGTATGGGCGTTACGTTTTCTTGATGTGAATGTTTTTTGGTTCACGCAAACCGCTTCTACGCTTTTGGGACGAAATTTTAGGGTCGCGCCAGCGTTTGCATGATCTTAATTACGCGTGCAATGATTGTCCATCGACACGCGACCATTACGCGTATTTAACTAACACGCGTGCGTTGCGTTGTTTTCGACCCGCATGCCCGCGTGCGTTCATGTCTAGACGCTTGCAAAACGTTTCCGTGAACACGCTTGCGTTACGCTTGTGCGAACTCCCTTGCGATATGTGTACAATGTACATGAACGCATTGCTTGTACGTCAAGATGCATGTATTGCTTGCGTTCACCAAAACACTAACGTTTCAGAGGCAGGGGTAACAAAACAATCCCCTTTATACTCGTATTGATGAGTGGGGGTTGTCACCTACCTGGCTTGAGATTATGGCCCGTATGCTAAATAGGGCACTAGCACTACGAAGTAGCACTATGCACTACGAAGTGTCCTGTTGGTATGCTAAATACGTCACAGACACTAAGCACTTCGAAGTAGCTCTACAATATTTAGTGTCGCTTAGTGTCGCACTACTGATTCGTATGCAGAAAGACTTTGAAGTGCTACTTCGTTGTTAGAGTACTTTATAGTGCCGCACTACGCTATGAGTCTATTGAAGAATGGTAGTTAAGTGCTCAAATAATTAATTATTCCCTAAGTAATTCTCATTCTTTGCAGAAGATTGATGTAAAATGTCTAATTGTAATGGTATATAATGGTACTAGTGAAAATTGTGATGGTGAGCTGAAATTCGCAATGCGTCTGCGCACCTTTCCCATCATATATTCAAAGGTCACGCTTCCCAAAGACATCGAACAAAAGAGAGAAGCATGGAAAGTTCTTGCAGAAGAATTGAAAATGACTCCAGAAAAAAATAGAAAAGAAAATTCAAAACATGGTTTCAAAAACAAGAAAAGTATTTTCTACTTCTACGCTGTTCATCTGTTTCGCCAAGGAAAATGTCAGCCATAAGAATAACATGTTATTCACTGAAGCGGTACACTTCTTTATATTCATGGCATGTAGTTCCTGAGGTTTTTACGCGATGATGCCTTTGCTGTAAGCCAAACAGATCCATAGCTGACGAAGTAAACAAGGTTAAATATACCGTAGTGTCGTCGTGAAGTGCGGTGTCTAGGACACTTCAAATTTTTGTAGTGCACGTTATGCTTTTGGCCCTATTTAGCATACCAACCGTAGTGTTCCATTCCGCACTATGGTAGTAGGCACTACGGCTTGTAGTGCGTAGTGCTACTTCATAGTGCTAGTGCCCTATTTAGCATGCCAACCGTAGTGTTCCATGTCGCACTATAGTAGGCACTACGGCTTGTAGTGCGTAGTGCTACTTCGTAGTGCTAGTGCCCTATTTAGCATACGGGCCTATGGCTGGGCAGCTAGTTCGGACTGCGGGGGTGCTGGCCGCTGATATTGAGTAGTGTTATATAGTTCTTCGTCCTGTTCGGACGTCGGTTGATACACGCATCTCATTCGAATTGTGTAATCATATCGTGCATAGTGAAGTCTACAATATGCTAACAACTCAGTGTTAAAAACTAAATATTACCGTTTTTGACATTTCCAGCAATACAAATTCCTTAGTTTTTGCTGCCCAGTGCTTGCTGAAGTGAAGTTCGTAGCAATACTTCTTTTCGGCAGGCTGCATTCATCATGACTACGCCATTGTGCGTTCAATATTTTGGCAGAGGTAGAAAATTTCAACTTTGGGTATGTTAACAAGAGCGAGTTCTTTAAACTGCTCCTGTTCATACGCTGAAGGTTCTAATTTCTAAATCAACTCGTCAATTGGATCGATTTGTGTAATCGAAAGTTTATCATTGCCTACGAGACTACGCCACAATCAATTGCGTGGGCAAGATTCGTCGGTAGTCTCAACACTGGGCGGTGCAACAAGCTAAACACGATGGAACAGGCTGCAATGTGTATTCAGCTTATTCGCAAGTAAGTTAGTTGCTGTGTTGCTGTTGTTCCGTTACTATCTACTCTATTTCATTGTATCGTCAGGTTTCACGATGGAGTTGTATTTAACCAATGCATGAATGTAGTTATTTCTGAAGAACTACAAATTGTACAAGGATAGATTCAAGAAATTTCCATCGATCTCAGCAATATTGGAATGGCTACTGAATTAGGCGTTAGAAATGCTTCTATTTTTCATTTTGCAGCAGTTGCAAGCAATATGTTCAGACCCCCGTGAAATTGTCTGCTAAACGAATGGTTTCTTCAGCAAAAGAACGGTTCAGCTTTGTGCATATGTCTGCACGCTTGAGGTTATTGCTCTAGCAAAAGATAGCTAATGAACTATTGCTTACAAGGAACCCATCTGTTAGCAACATATTTGATTTGAGGATATCCCATAACTCTCGTATATTCTGCTATTTATTTGATTGTTTCCCCAGGAATTTAGAGTGCAGTTGATAACTTCAATGCTTGAAAAGAACTATATGTGAAACTCAATACTGTCATTGCAGCAGCCGATGCAAAAAGATCCTTATTCGCTACGAAGTGTGAACAACTGAAAGCTGCAATCTAGTTACTTCCGTAACTCGATTTTGTTAAAATTAACGTGCATTTCTCCATTCAATTGTGTGGTCTTTCTTTCATCAATGGACGCAGAATTTGAAGCCCCTGCAGAACTGTTTGCACGATAGAATCTTAATGTGACGAAAGTTACACGACATGATACGGACATAATTCAACGATTATTTTAAACACAACGTTATTCATGGCGGCTCATGCGGCAAGATACATGGATGGAATAGGAGAAATTGGCTTGACTTTTATCACCTCGAATCAGTTATATTGATGCATCGATTGCATTTTTTATTTTCGAATGTTGCCCTCATTTCAAACCACGCCATGTCAAAATAGTTACTAGTTGTAAACATCTATGCATAGAAACTGAGCGCACTTTTCAGAATCGGCCGTGTCTGTCCCGAAAGTATCAGATGCCAAATACGCGCACCTTGCGCTCGCCCCACGGTTGTCAGGGAATAGACCGGATACTAATCAGGTGCTTATTTCCCTCGTACAACCAGAACCTAAAGCGGACATTGAGCCGCTAATTTACACCGCTAGGCGAGCCTGAGGCGTCTTTGAGCCAGCGGCTCACAGGAATCAAAATTTTGAAAGGGTGGCAGATATTAACATTACTCTATTCAAGCGCGTGTGTGGATGCCGCAGGGCACATTCGTTCGACCAAGCCTCATGAAATGGTCACAGGTGATGGCCGTGCAAGAACTGGCGTATGAAGCTCTCCCCACTGGGGATGTTGCCGTCCATTTCCACCCACGTGCCACCCACGGGCAGGAACCTCCCCTCCGACACCCGAGCCTGGCAAAAGTATTTTTGTTTTCTTATAGGTTCGAAATAATCACAAAAAATTCGCAGTTTGCCATCTCAGGCAAGCAATTTCCATTTGATGTACTGTAAAGTAACATTTGGTCAGGAGAGATCTTCTTGAGGTATGTGTTTCCAGCGTTAAGCCTTAAGTTCTAAACGCGCGTTCTAACGCGCGCCCGCAGGCCGTTTGGTTTGGCCTTTCAAAATTAATGAAATGGTTCAAAATCCTCAGATTTATTTCTTAAATCAACAATAAATTTTGTTTATTTTTGTTTAAATGTCCTCGAAATAATCTGAAAAAGATTCAGTATTACAGCCATTAGTTAGCCATTTATTACAAAATGAAGCAATGGTAATTAAGTAAGTTATCCTGTATAAAGCATGAGCAGCAGAAACCTTCTAATAAAAGCTTACGCTTTCGAGAACTTTGCCAATCCGTCAATAACTTTAAAAATGCGCCGTTTGGCGCATTTTTGCGCCGTTTGGCGCCGTTTGGCACCCCTCCCTAGTCCCTACTGCACACAACTCGGCAGAGCCCTCAATGAAATCTATTTGAATTCCACAAGAATAGAGGCACTATACCCTGAAAGCATCGACTCTTGATTAATAACAGGGTATTTCTCCTCGACCTCGGTGCAAAGTATCTCTGTCTGGCTCTAGTCTATCGAGTTCAGAGATCGACTGATGTCGAACTAACGCAAATCAAAGTATTAACACTCAAAGAATAGGAGAACAAACATGAACAACTCAACTGAATAACACACAATACCGGTGTGAGATTTGAATAGCTTGCGTTTTTTGGAGTTTTTAGTCTAATTTATGTTAAATATTTTAGCAGTTCAGTATTTATTTGTGAGTTTCAAATTTTCAAGTGCAACGCGTTTTGGTAACTAGTTTATCGCCAGTAGCTCTTCTTCCGAATCGAAATAGATTTTCACGATGACAAAATTTATCATTGAAAGCGACGATAATTGATTCAATGATCAACTTTTGGGGAGCTTGAAGATTTAAGTAAAATAAAGGAAATAATAAGTGTAAATCAGTTTTATATCCTCAATGACTGACTAATTATTATATTGAGATATTTCGGACTCAGATCAACCAGAAAAGTTTAACTTGTTGTGAACACAGGGATAGCGAACTGAGGTCGGGTAGATCCTGCGGAACAATTAAAGATTCAACAAGGGGTAAAATTTATTATTTTTGTTTCGTAGTTTTCTGAATATTGTTTTTGAAAATTCTATCGAGAGTTGGCCTCACGGAAACGAATTTAAACGAGAAAATTAAACACAAAAAAGAGGCTACATTTTTGCAGTTCATTATTCAGATTTGACTCATAGCGTTTTCATTCATAAGGGACACCTCTTCTTCATTAAATTGAATTTTTCAATCTAAGATCAATAAAATCTCCATAAAATCCGCACCTTGACGCGGTCGAAGAGCTCCGGGTAGTACTGCTTGCACCAGGCCCACTGCTGCGCCTGTAATAATCATTATTATTATAGGGACGATGCTTATTATTGGCATTATTATAGGCTGCGATGCTTCAACTTGAGATATTCTCAGCAGCTGATTTGGAGGAGAGACTTGACGCAAAAATATAAATTCTGCCATCTAATTCTAATGAGAAGTTATGCATACATATTTATAGATTTTATCATATCATACATTCAATGAATATCAAATGATTATGTTACTTTCATATTCAATATATATCCCAAAAGAAATTTCCCTATATTATAAACAGTATCCTAGTTACCTGTGACGCGACGAAGATGAAGTCAGGGTACTGGTCCATGAGCGCGAGTTGGTTGGCGAAGGACCGCCCCACCTTACGCTTGGTCTCGCTGACCGGCCACAGCCACGCCGAGTCGATGTGGCAGTTGCCGATAGCGGCGAGGCGGTGGGCGCGGGCCCCGTTGCCCTTGGTGAAGTAGGCATCCGCCAAGGCGCTCGCTGACCTAATAATAAGAAAAAATTTATGTAATAAAGTTAGGTTCCAGAGGATTTGTGATTGCAGTAGGGATTATGCCGTTTTCAGAGGGAAGAGGTGGCTGTAAATTAGAATTGAATTTATGTACCGATGGTGAAGCAGATTTCAAGAGTACTTAATATTGGAGAAGTTCCATGTCAATTGGCTGAACTCACTGCTCCTGGCCTGCGATGATTGAGTTGACCATCTGGTTGGCAGTGAAGAGAGCAGCGTATCCTCTGACGTCATCAGGCAATTCGTCAGCCAGCTGGCTGAGCACAGCCAGGTCGTGCATGAGTTTGGCGGTGAGAGTGTCCATGACAGCCACCTCAGCCATGTGCAGCGTGAACATCATGTCGGGGGGTGGAGGATCTGTAGGCAGCAGCAACGCAAAATTGGCCTGGATACACTTTATTCATCATGGAAATAAACAATTTCTAATGCAATTCTTATCAAGAAACGCCACATTCTCGACATGATTCGTTTGCTGTCCTCTTCGTAGTTTAGGTATGACTTACCCAACTGGTCGTGATGGTAGGCACTGTAGGTACTCATCAACGAGGTCGTAGGTACCAGCACTGCAGGTACTAACCAATGAGGTCGTCGGTGTAGGTGCCTTTTATGCGACTGCCCGCCATCTCGACGTAGTAGGTGAGCGTAGGTGAGCTGCCGTCGTAGTTGTTGGTGATTAGGTAGTCTGTACGCACTTGGTTGTCGATGGTCGAGGACAGACCCTAGGCAGAGAATGCGAACTACCCTAAACAATAATTTAAGACGACAGACCCTAAGCAGAGAATAGGGACTAGCCTGAACTATATTTTATGACGAAAGACCCTAGGCAGAGAATAGGGACTACCCTGAACTATATTTTATGACGACAGACTCTAGGCAGAGAATACGGATCATCATGAACGATATTTTATGATGACAAACCCCAGGCAGAGAATACGGACTACCCTGAACGATGTTTTATCGATTAGAGAAATAAATATGTTTTATCGGTTCCGGAAGAGAAGTAAAGATGATTTGAGAGGCACGTTACGTATAGTGGAGATAACTATGCGATTAAAGAGGGGATATATCTATTTGTACAGAAAAGCCATTTCATCAGAAAACTTCTTTGTTCTTACAGCCTGCAATTACATGACGAAGGAGTGTCGACTTCACAGAGCAGCATTCCCTACATTACTATTCATATAGTACATTACTATTCATATATGTTAACTACACTCCATTAGCATACCATCACCTTCACCAGTAACACCTCTGCCTCCCCCTAACCTGCAGCACCCTGCCGTCCACGCTCCACAACGTCGCCTCAGAGTCGGAGTTCCACCTGAAGTGAAGGCGGCGTCCCTGCCAGGTGGACGGCAGCTGGAGCTCCACCTTGAACCAGGTGGTGGACCAAGTGGGTCCAAATGACGCGCCCAGAGCAGTGGGAGTGAAACTTTGATTGATCACCTCAGAGAAGGGGTAGTTCACCCAGGCCCCTTCGCCCCCCGGCACCGACCAGTACGACAGAGCTGGGGGTTAAATGTTATGTCAGAGAGCTCGAGATATGATGGTGAATGTTCTGAGGCTGTAGAATGATGAATAATACTAGAAAAGAAGGACCATGACGATGAATGGCAGATAACTTTAGGAATGAAGGATAACACCTTCATCGTCCATCATAACACCTTTGCCCGAAGCGTTCGATAAAGAGCCCCACCAGCGACTGCTATCGAAGCTTGACGTGTGGCATTCTAGGGAGCGTCAAGCAATGGATCGCCAAATTTTTTTTGGACGAACGCAGCAAGTGGTCGTTGAGAAGGAAAGGTTCTGTAAAGTTTATGCACATTCTGGCGTCACAGAGGGTTCAGTGCTAATACCGACCCTGCTCCTGATAGATGTATATGTTTCCTGGCTAAACATATAATGATATATAAACTTTTATTATACCTAGTAAAATATTTTTCTTCGACACTGTTCCCGAGTCGCTACCTCAGTAGCTTAGGAAAAAGCACCCAAACAAATTAATAATTATTCGAAAGAATGAGTTACAAGAGTAGCTTGCTAATTACAGTGTTAGACCTCAATGAAATTCCGCATCAATCGACAGTTATGCCTCAGCCAAACGCCGCCTCACTGGCTGTTCGCGCGTCGGGGTACAGTCGCGTCACGAGGTTCACGTCTTTGAAGCGCCGCGACGAGATGAAGTTTTGGATGCGTGGCAGCGTCGCCTTGCGGTCCTTGCGCAGCGGCGCCGTCACACCAGGGTCCGCCATGCCTGTCTGAGCAATTCAAAAGTCATCACAATTTGCTCAGTGCTTGAGTAGTTTTAATCATACTAATTATATAGCACCCTCGTTTATGCTCTGTTATGCTAGTTGAATAAAATTGAATTAATTAGGTATTCAGTAATAAAGTACGTCCTTCTAAATGAATTCTAGCAAATAAATTTCTATTCCGAAAAATAGTGAATATTATAATATTTCCTTATAAAACTCTTCACCTTTCTTACTTCCATACCACAATAGTAAATATTACTTGTAAAATATACTGAATAGCGACTAGGTCAGCGAAATAAAATGAGTAGGACCTTGCATGTTCTTCGCTACATTGAGTTCAACCATTAATGAAAATAACGATGAATTTTGAAGGCCAATCACCTTCACGATGACTTTAATATTCATTCGTATCATTCAAAGTTAACCATCGCTTCTGCCTGAGTTTAAAAAAAATTCTTACTTATGGTTTCTTTTGATTCGATTTCTATATGAAAGTCATCCTCGCTCAACCACGTACGACTGATTAGTTTGATATCCGCATATAGAAATGCAGTATAACTTTACTGCTGTACCGAGCAGGAACCTTACCACGTAATTTATCGTCCAAGAGAGTTACTATCAGCCACAGAAGTTTAGGTGTAGGAAATTAATAGCAGGGCGTAAAGCACAGGCCAAGTTTGTGCCGAGACGTCTCGTCTAGAAATGTTCACTGTCCCGCCACTGCCTTGTATAAATACTCTCTGCTCGTGCGTACCGTAAGTGATTACACTTATCTAATTGACGCACGCTTTATAAAAGGTGTTGTTCAATAACCATGAAAGATAGTTTAATCAGCGAGTTGATATGTAATCGGTAACATGTCACCTGATGGTGAGATTAATTTGTTATGTTAGTCGATTGCTTACGATAATGAAAACGATGAGTCACGGACTACTAGTCTATACGACGTAAATTAATTGAATCTGTTCTTGCAATAATGTCATGGAAATAATTTATAAAAAAATATTTTCCAACGCTCTGGGTCCAGTTTAAATTGTGCTGAACTGTGATAATAAAACCCAACCTTGTCTTGTGACGAATACAAATGAGTATGATATTTAAATAATATTCTATACGATTTACCATCTTAAACATGAGGCAGCTATTTTAACTAGAGCATAGAGGCAAAAAAATGGGATAGAGAAATAGGATTCATCCACGTATTATTGGAATAATATAAATTTATGAATAGGGATAAATGTTTCCTTTTTTGTCTTTTAATAACCCAGGAAACAACGATTCGTTTGACAATGTGAAGCTTTAGTTTAGAGACAGCGTTCCTACATAGCGTCTCTCAGTATCCTGCTAGAAACAGCGTTCCTACATAGCGTTTTTCAGTGTCATGTTAGAGACAGCGTTCCTACGTAGCGTCTCTCAGTATCCTGTTAGAGACAGCTTATCTAAACAGCGTTCCTCAGTATCCTGTTAGAAACATCGTTCCTACATAGCGTTTCTCTGTGTCCTGTTAGAGACAGCGTTCCTACATAGAGTTTCTCTGTGTCCTGTTAGAGACAGCGTTCCTACATAGCGTTTCTCGGTATCCTGTAAGAGACAGCTTATCTACACAGCGTTTTTCAGTATCCTGCTAGAAACAGCGTTCCTACATAGCGTTTCTCAGTATCCTGTTAGAGACAGCGTTCCTACATAGCGTTTCTCATGCAGTGTCCTGTCCTCAAATACGATAAGATTGAGTCGCAATCCTCGTTAGTTTTTTGCCTTATTTTACCATTGGTTCATTATTCATTAGGATTGTATTTTGGTTTACTACTCGGTACGATACTTGACATTTCAATGCTACACTTTGGTGTTGATCATGCAGTGTTACATGTAGGAAATATTCATATGTTTTTGTTTAATTACAGGCTTATATCGTTGCAGTACGGTACAAATTCCAAGTTATGGGTAATAAATTGTGCAGATTACGTTAAGGTCGATGATAACGGCTAAATTTATTGAGCTTACGATGGATTTATGAGATCAACTTCACTTTAGAGTGCGGAATTAAAGCTACGACAGAAATCACTTCAGCCAAGTGATCTGATTGCGCGATAATAAAGATCGATTTGCGTCAACAAATGCATGACGAGAAATGTTGAATTACTGTCAAAAAATGGACGACGAGAACTACTGTTAATTAACGTTGTTACAAACCTAGCCCCGTACAACGTTACGACACTATTTTCTGGCCCAGGCGAACAGATAAACAGTTAGTGACCTCTGTGTGAATGCAAAGTAACATCGGAAAAGGAAAATTTCTCCCGCGGTTTCTAGAAACCACAACCGCTTTCAAGTCTAATAAAACCTCCTCCAAAACATTTGATTTGTTAGAAAATTTAAATTCTGAAGCTTCTTGGTTGTTATTTTTTTCATTATCCGTATAATTTATTTTGCAAAGTATTGGTTGATTTGCGCCTTTTCCTTTGATCCTTCCTCTTCAATTTAAAATATAATCAGTGAAATTCGTTTTCCAAGTCATAGTTTTCCTCGATGTTTCAAAGTAGACTATATTCAAAGGTACTCAATCTTTATTGCTCTAATGTTTAACTAATGTTGTGCTGTTTCGAATTTTAAAGAAGTCCGTGCACAATTTTTTTACGTCTGTTCTTATGCACTGAAAATCTTACGAATTGATGTAAATTGTAGATTTTTGTTCATGTGCATGCGATAAAAACATGCGCGATAAAACTATTATCATCGAATGCCAATAATGGTCATCTTATCACGTATTATAGATTATTTAAGCACTTACATGAGAACTGGTGACAATTCGAAGTTTCGGTAGCAAATTTGCATTCAGTTTAAAATATTATATCAGAATCATATAAACTCTCTGGATAAAGTTTACGATTGGTACAATGAGAAGTTGAGAACAGTTAAAGAGAAGAATGAAAATTCAAAATGCACTGGAATAAAAGCTAATATTTGTAGCTCACTCAAATCGCAGATTTATCAAAAATTTAATAGTAAACAATGTCACGGAAATTCAATATATTTTAATCGAAAGCAAAAATTATTATTACGAAAATACGAGGCCCAAAAAAAAGAAAAAAAACATGCATATTCACACAAAAAGATTAAAAACCAGGTAAAAACTAAACAGAGGCCAATGAACCTTGAAATCTATCAATCAATTTGATAGCAATGATAAGCCTTGTAACAAGCGCTGTTACGTGCGTTACAGCTGCGTTATTATGGCACAACACAGCTCAGGCTCTGTGTTGTTATAGCACAACACAGCTCAGGCTCAGTTTACTCTATCGAGGTAATGAGGTTTGGTTTGATTTCGGCCTACCAGTTTTTCAGTTCTCAAACTATCTTCAAAATCTGTCTTCTCAAGAGCTCAAAATCTGTCGTTAAAATCACGTTTAAGCTAGGGCACGGTTGCGGTAACTTAGATATCAGACTTAAGATAGCATTTAAAAAGTAAGAATTGAGTCGATTTCTCAAATTTTCAAACTGAATTTGGATGAAATTGAAAGAAAAAGAATCAAATGTATAATATACATAGCTATTTCAGAGATGATTAGGCCCGTAGGCTTGTCGACGATTCTTAAGATTGCAGAACATTCACAGCTTGCTGCGGTCTCGAACTCGCAGCTCACTGCTACAATTTTGCTTTGCTAACTGCCCGGCCTCCTCGCCGTTACTGACCAGAAACTGGCGCACAGCGACACAGGTCTGGGATCGAACCCGCACCCCTCTGCTCCAATCCTGATACTCTGAACTGTAACCACTGGGCAAAAAAAATTCATTGTTCCAACTTTACATTATCTAAAGTACGATCAACGAATTGTTTCGAATTGGTTTATCCAGGAATTGTTTCGGTCAACTGTGGTCGGGGAACTGACATCGAAAATTAGTCGCGTAGTAATATTAGGCATCATAGCAAAAGTTTTCGTTTTATGCATAAGACTGAATTACAACAGTGGAACAGTTTTCATCTCCCATGCTAGCATAATTTAAATCTAATTTTTTCTGTACTTGCTGGCGTTGAAATGCAATGCATTTTTTAATTTGGGGCAAAACCATCCATTGATTAACATCAATGTATTTTCTAATTTTGACTGACGCATACGCAACACACCTCGTTTTCAAGTTTAGATCTTGTAACGCAAGTCAAAATATACCAGCTCACTTAATGCAAGTTTAAAAGTCTGTCAACACGTGGAGAATATTAAAAAGATTCAACACGCCTAAAGTACTTCACTGGATTATGGCTGTCAATGCTCTATGTCTGTCAACACGTGGCTGATATTAACACGACTCAAGTTTTCCACTAGCTTGTACCCAAACTTTTCCATAGTTGTGCCACATGCAAGTTGTATTTCACGGAGCGTACTCGCACGAAGTCGACGTGTCCAATACAACAGACGATCTTTTGACCGGCGCCACGTGGTGGTTGGGCTGTTGATCTCCTTGGTAGTATGGGTCCTAACGAACCTCTGCATTGAAGGATGGAAGTCGAGCCCCATCTTTTCAGTGAGAATTTTCACTTGGTTGCTGACGTTAGCCATCAGATCTTCGTACCTAACTAAGTGGACGCGGTCAGGGTACAATTTCTTGAAAGTTTTGTAAGCGTGCAAGTCATCCTCCATGTCAGCGCAGAGTACGGCAGGCGAGTAGCAGTCCAAGTCGCGCGGCTTGCACCACTTCACCGTCGACCTCCTCGAGTTGATCACCGCGCGGGGGTCGCGCACCAGGTAGATCAGCTGCAGGTTGGTACTCACCGGCGCCTCCAGGAAGGGTTTCATCAGCTCCAGCTTTAGTCTCACCATCTTTATGACCATCCATGGGAACAACTGGCAAGCTTGAGATAAGAATTCTGAATCCAGGCACACTTTTTTGCTACGTTGAAGACCTAAGCAGCTCTTCCTGACTCCAGCATCCAAAACTAGGAAAATCTTCTTTATAGTTGCCAAGAGTTTCCGATCTGTAAATCTGTCAAAAAAATGTCATTAACGAATTTTTTTTCTATTCCACCATTGTCTCATTGTTGGAAATGACTATAAATTTAGATATGTATCTCGTGAAAGATACAAATTCTTGATTATACAGTTATTTTCGAAACAGAACTTATTCTTCAAGTGCGTAAAGGTAAAACGTTTCTCACGGGCTCACAGTGGGCCACAACCTTGTTTGAAACAGAGCCATGTCAATAGGTTACAAGGGCTCAAATCCGCACTTGGTCTTTATTGCAAGCAGCTTAGGTACTTCAAAAGGCGGATTTTCTGACTGTGCGTTTCGCGTCATCTTATCACGCTCTGTCTCAGCAAAGCAAACGTTGTGAAGGAAGAAACTAATTTTTTTTTGTTCGCCAATCTTACATCCATTTCAGTGAGAGAGTGAACAGAAAGCGAAAAGAGAAAAGGACCAGACAGGAGAATACGAAAAAGGCGTTATGCTCATAACTGGTTTGCCTTTAGGCATTTAATGTTAGGATGGGAGTGATCGTTTCAGCATGGATTTTATTTTACACAAATCATTTTCACACTCTAAGTTCCTCACTTGCACTGCAATATTTGGCGGACGATGGACTGCGCCTGTTTGGCAGCAGGAGCCTGACCTCCACGTGCTCACCATCACCACCTGCACACAGAGGAATTATTATACCACAAAGTCTGACCTATACGTGCTCACCATCACCACCTGCACACAGAGGATATTTTATAGCACGGAGGCTGACCTCCACATGCTCACCATCACCACCTGCACACAGAGGATATATTATACTAAAAAGTCTGACCTATACGTGCTCACCATCACCACCTGCACACAAAGCATATTTTATAGAACGGAGCCTGACCTCCACGTGTTCTCCCTAACCACCTGAACATAGAGCATTTTCTAACAGAAGCACCTCTCCCAATGGGCGAAACTTTTTTACGAACTTATTGCCTGAAGTACGTCTCTGAATCTGCAAGTGTGTTATTTCGATTTCTGGTTTCCAACAAGCGTTCAATTATGTTTATGATGCATTCTCTTCTCCATCATTATTCGACTGAAATTCCAACAAGTCACAAAAACTCACTTGACTGGGGGACGGAAGGTCCAAATTCGAGAGGATGTCTTTAGGTTCGGTTAGCGTTTGTGCTCTTGCTTCCAGCGGCTGCTTGCAGTCTGGAGTCTTTATTTTTGCCGTTTGTTTGTTGCCTTTAACGTTAAAGAAGAGATGCCGGACCCCAGAGTACATCATCAGGTCCTTCATGATGGATTTCTGAGAGTGAAATACGACTCTTGATTCACCGATAGGTCACGGCGAGAAAAATATTACATTTAAACCATGATTAACGCATTGTTTCCTGAACGAATTCATTGTACAAGTGTAACCTAAAACAAAACTTCCTTCGGATGGAGCAGTAACTTTCTGAGAAGTCGCTCGTAGTCTTGAATTTTCTTATTGAATTTGGACAAGCTGGAGGTGATATGAGTGCTTGTATTAGAATCACCGCTTACCTTGAGGGTACAGCGAGCGCGGTCGTAAGGCTCTGTGAGTGACGCGGACGATGTATTGCTCCGCAGCGACCTCTGTTGAGCCACGACCTGCAGACTGCCAGCCTATAACGACATTCATACCTAATTATTTGACCTGTATCCTGTCAGCGATATTCAACTCTAATTATGTGACCTGTTAGCCTGCATCGACATTCATATCGACATTCATGCTTAATTTTCTGACCTTTAGCCTGCGGACCTTGATCGGCATTCATACTTAACTATATCTGACCTGCAGCTTGTTGGCCTACCTGAGCATCCGTACTAGTTATGTGAACTGCAGTTTGTCAGCCTAAATCGACCAAAATACTTAATCTTTACGGTCGCAGTTGCCGTAAAAGCTTGAAAAAAACGACGAGCGACCCCAGTAATGTCCTTGCATTAATATGCAACTGATAAATGCCAATAATAAGCAGAACGATTGCAGAGTAGCACAGCAATGCGCGACATGTAGCAGCAGAAGAATTAATGATCGGCGCGATCTGCTGCTGCGGATTATGGATCAGTCCAAGCTAAAGGGATCGAACGGAAAGAAGATGGCCTAGTGGTTAAAGTTCAGAGTATCAAGACTGGCTCAGAGAGGTGCGGGTTCGATCTCAGCTCTGTGCGCCAGTTTCTGGTCAGAATCGGCGAGGAGGCCGAGCGGTTAAGCACAGCAAAATTTGAATCAGTGAGTTGTGAGCTCGAGACCGCAACAAGTTGTGAATGTTCTGCGATGTTAAGAATAGGAGACAGGCCTACGGCCTAATAAACGCTGAAACCGCTATATATATTATATAAAACACCACGTCTCGTCTGCACTGGACGTGGTGGACTCTGAATGATCGAGTGATGCGCGTGAAAAAAAGTTGGAGCTACGAAACGCTGAAATTTCGTTGAGAACTGAGTGGACGAAAAACTTCATAGCCCACGCACCATATTGCGCATGGCGCCACCTTCCTAGGACTAATGGCCGCCACGTGGCGCGCAATTCAAATAAGTAAGTTCCCGCGCCGCACCCTGTACCAGTAGAAGAAATAATGATCGGCGCGATCTGCTGCTGCGAATTATGGATCAGTCCAAGCTAAAGGGATCGAACGGAAAGAGGATGGCCTAGTGGTTATAAAGTTCAGAGTACCAAGATTGGCGCAGAGAGGTGCGGGTTCGATCTCAGCTCTGTGCTCCAGTTACTGGTCAGAATCGGCGAGGTGGCCGGGGGGTTAAGCACAGCAGAATTTGAATCAGTGAGTTGTGAGTTCGAGACCACAAAATGCTGTGAATGTTCTGCGATGGTAAGAATCGGAGACAGGCCTACGGCCTAATGAACGCTGAAACCGCTATATATATTATCTACAATACCACGTCACGTCTGCACTGGAAGTGCTAAACTCTGGATGATCGAGTGATGCGCGTGAAAAAAGTTTGCGCTACGAAACGCTGAAATTTCGTTGATCTCCAGAGTTTCAACGGGGTCTTTCGAAAGGAAATAAACTGATTTTGGTGAAAAAATATCTGCGTATTTTACTCTAATTTTGGTAATGAATTCGCAGTGACGTTTGAGAGAACACTCGGCAATTTGAGAGAACACATGGCGAACTTGAGAGAAAACACATGGCGAACTTGAGAGAAAACACATGGCTGAATATTATTGGAAGTGACATCAAGCGCACACTTACCATTTCTGGCGATTTTGAAGTAATAGTTCCGACGGTGGTGTCGAGAGCCCGAATTCCTGTTAAAAATGAAAATTATGCAACTAAAAATAAGGAGCGTGCGAATAAATTTCATCAGAGTTTGATATACGCGTCATCTAATCAACAGTATTTCTGTACCGAAAGAGAGCCTAAGAAATATGTTTAGCATTTCAAAATATAATTGTATTCTGAAGTGCTATATAACAGAGAATTTATTTCTAGCATTTTGACTATCTTCTAACACTAAGAACTTCTTCGCTGCACCTTCGTTATTTATTCTTAATGCTTATTTTACGAAGAGAGCTTATGATAGAATTGAAAACACAAGCTTGTTGTAAAGAGATTAGATTTAAATGAGTGGTTATTAACCGTTTTGAGTCTGCGTTTTGCAGTAGGAGATAACGCTGATAGTTGTCACCACGGACAGCAGCACCAGCGACGCGGCCAGCTTCTTGCCAGCAATGTTCTGCTCACAGCGGAAAGTGTGGGAAAATATATAAATATAAAAAATATTTTAAAAAACCACGTTTTTCTGGTTTTTACAAAAGTAAAAATACTGAAATAAAACAATAACAAAAATTTAAAAACCACGTTTTCTTAACGGACAAAAAAGAAAAACATTTACTCCTGCATAACATTTAAGTTATGTAAAATGTTATGTAATGTTATGTAAGAGTAAATGTTTTTCTTTTTTGTCCGTTAAGAAAACGTGTTTTTTTTTAATTTTTTATTTGTTTTATTTCAGTGTTTTTAGTTTTGTAAAAGCCAGAAAAACGTGGTTTTTAAAAAATATATTTTTTATTTATTTTCCACTTTTTAGTTAGCAATTTTAGCAATTCAAATCAATTTCCAGGGTTGGCAAGTGTGGATGTTCGAGAAAAAACTCAATTCCAAACCGTGAATTTTTCGTGTTTTTTTTTATTTATTTTTAATTAAAAAAAATTTAAATTATTATATCTGATGATCAAATCTTGAATTGTTAGGCAGCATGAGCATGCATGCCAAATTTAAAGTTTCTAGGATGTTCAAAAGAGCTCTAAATAAACGTCTGAATTTTTGATGACAGGCAGACCGCGGAACGAAGTCAAGAATAAAACAAATAAAAAACTTTTACAAACCACGTTTTCTTAACGGACAAATAAGAAAAACATTTACTCTCACATGACATTTAAGTTATGTAAAATGTTATGTAATGTTATGTAAGAGTAAATGTTTTTCTTATTTGTCCGTTAAGAAAACGTGATTTTTAAAAGTTTTTATTTGTTTTATTTCACTATTTTTAGTTTTGTCAAAACCAGAAAAGGTGGTTTTTAAAAATATTTTTATATATATTTATTTTCTACCTTTTAGTTAGCAATTTTAGCAATTCAAATCTATTTCCAGGGTTGGAAAGTCTGGATGTTCGAGAAAAAACTCAATTCCAAACTGTGAATTTTTAGTGTTTTTTTTTACTTTTTAATTTTTTTTTTAATTTTTTTAATTATTATTTTCGATGATCAGATCTTGAATTGTTAGGCAGCATAAACATGCATGCCAAATTTCAACTTACTAGGATGTTTAGAAGTGCTCTAAATTAAGGTTTGAATTTTTGATGACAGACAGACACGAAACGAAGTCAAGAAAAACGTGGTAATAATAAAAAGGGATGAACTTAAGGGTTTATTGTTTTTCCTTCTGGAAAATAAAGTTAGAAAAAATATAACTCAGTACACACTGTAGTGAGTTACAGAGAGCACAATAGTACATTTTTTCCATAAATGAGAAAATGCGCTAAAAGCGTTAAAATTAACGTTTAATCGACGTGAATTCAATGTTTTAGAGTTTAATAATTAATATAATCGTTGGTTCAACGTCAGTTGCCAGGAGGGTCATAATGTATATCAGAGCCGCGAAATCTAAGGAGCTTCATCTTAAAAGTCATTGCTTGCAAATTTTGTCTGCACGTCTCATATTTTAATGATTTCGTCTCATAATTACATTGTTAATTGCTAATTAATATAATTGTTTGTCTCATATTTAACATCTCTTAAATTAATTCGTTCGTCTCTTAATTGCTCGTCTGATATTTTAATGATTTCACCTTATTTATGCTTTTATCTCTTATTAGAAAAGCAATCGTGAAGAGAATCCTTGAAATCGGTGAGCAACATATTATGTCCCTTCACACATCTTAAAAGTGACAGAATGTTTGAGTGGATGTCAACCAAAAGACATCACCCTAATTAAATTAGATACATGTCATGATTGTTATCAGTTTCCTAAAGGATTTCGTGTGTACAATTCTTATTAAAATTTAGCACATATATGATTTACTCTTCTAATATAGTGCTTATACAGTTTATTAATTTTATGCTTTACCCAAGGCCTGATTCTGAGCTGCATGTTGAGCTGTCCGTAGTTGTGCCGCAGAGCCAGCGTTATGGATGTAATGTCTTCACAAAGTGAAAGATGGCGAATTTGTTAATTGGAGTTGTTATGTCGATTATTAGTAACCAAAAATCCTTTCTGCAACTGTGCATCGATCTGTAAGAGCTAGGAAAAATTTTCTGTATTCACAAAAATATACTAGTTTTTTTTCTCTCGTATGATTCACGGTAGGTTCATTTCTGCGAGGTAATATTTTTTCCTTTGGAATTGTACAGCGTTCGTCCTGTCTTATACCAATAAGAAGTCGTGACAATTAAGATACTTGCCTGTGCACAAATTTGTTTCTTTTTCTTTTCTCGGAAAAAAATGGGGGATATTCTGCTTTGGTTGGAATCGCAATGTACTTTTCTAAGACGAATTGACTTGTTATAAGGGGAGCGTCTGGGTCACAAAAAAACTTTGATATAGAAATTTTAATTTTTCAGGAGCGCCAGGTAATTACTATCGATTGAAAAAAGAAGAAAATGCTAAAAAATTCGCCTAATACTTTAGCCCCAGCTTTCTCATTGCCAAATACATGTATTGATGAGACCATCACGTGGCCTTAGACTTCTTCTTGTTCAGCTTACCGCAAATAATAAACCATGTGATTTTTCTGACATAATTATATTATACAAAATGGCAATTTTATAAAAGTTTAAAATGATCTTAAGCAAAAAGTATTGCATGCAAATTCAGGATATATATTCTTTGTTGAACGCGCCTTGTTTACAGCTCCTAAATGAACTCAAATGCATCGCAGTTAACGTGAATAATGATCAATCAAATCAATTTTCCAAAGTAATCTTTGTACATTTTGTTGAATAATGTTTATTTCATATAAATTTGAAACTACCTTACGCAAAAACTAGTGTACGGTACTACGGTTTACTGCGTTGAATGCGCCTTTTGTAACAAGCTTAATTACCGCGAATAACAATATGTAATTAAACGCTATTTTTTCTAAATAAAACTTTGCACATATTGTTAGAAAATGTTTATTCTATATAATTTTTAAACTGTTATACGCCAAAACTAGAGCACGCACATACGTACATTCAGTTCTCCGCGTTTGACGCGCCTTGTCTACAGCAACCTAATGCGTGAGCCCGAAAAATGGAGAAGTGACATTTTTCGATTTTTGGACTCACAAGCTCCACTCTATGCTTAAATTATTCCCCAATAATATCATGACCAGCAGTAGTTTGCCCTGGAACCAAATTGAGATAAGAGACACACAAACAAGCTAAATGCGAATTGCTTTTTGTTCAAGCTATGCTATGGAAAGCTATGTCAGCTATGGAAAGATCGGGTTCCAAAGGCCGGATCCCTTGTGAATCAAGTCACGAAAAGTTCAAGAATCGGCAACAGGCCATGGGCCTATTTCTTCAACGCCGACACTTCTATTCTATTCTATTCTAAGCGTTGAACGAAATTTTTCTCTATTTTCTATTCTGTGTCACAGGCACTGACCGCGCGATTGTGCGGTAAATGAGATACATTATATATACGGATACACACAGAATCGTAAATTGGTATCTCCGCTACCGAAATACTCGTTTGTTAAAAACGGTTATCCCGAAAAATTTGGAGTCCCATTACTTATAATTTCAGTCATTCGCCGAAATAATGTTAGGTATTTGTAAATTTTAAAAAAATTTTTAAAAGTGCATAAAGTTGTAAACCACAATAACCCTTTTCTCATCTTACCCATATTAAAAAATATTCATAGCTTGAGTTGTGACTCTCAGTGCTTAATGGTTGAACCACTCTTATCATCCATACTTATAATGAAGGATCATATATAATGTCGATAAAGCTACACGATGGACGCTTTATTTTAATGACAACGCCTATCATGACATATTGATTCGGTCGGTCCTCGAGAGATAATTATAATGATCTGTCGTCACTCTACGAGTCATGCTTCGGAATGTCAATGCCCAATAAAGTTGCTGGCGTCAATCAAACTTTGTTCTCAATCAAGAATTGTCCTCACGCACTTCCGTGTTCACTTTCACAGTTTCCTAGCGCCGAATTAAGGTGAGTTTCGGTTTTTTTTTTGTGATAATAACAGTAATTTGTATTTGCGTTCTCATTTCCTGGGGTCATAAATTCTTTTTGGAAAATATGCACTTTCGCTCATCACGAAATAGACTCTTGCAGATGTCTTCCTTTTAAAAGTGACCACTGAGCTATCATAGTTTACTCGTAAATTTAAATGTGTTTAGCACCGGTCACTAATAATATCCACGGGCGATGCATATCAAAGTTCAATGCTGAATTGAGAGCGAAGTTTGTTTCTTTATTAATTAACAGTTGACTCTTCAGGTGCTAGGTCGATACCAGCTACTTTGTATGCCACGTGCTATTCAACGATTATAAGTAAACAGACGATTAAAATCTACGGTAATTTGTGTTTTACTGTCCTAAATTATTAATGTCATTATTTAGAATTCTACGCTTTTTATTCGTCATCAATCGTTCAATAATTAGCTTCTAGAGTTCATTAATTGTTAGTATAGTTCTTGGAAGTTTGTTCATTAATGGCAAGCACAGGTAAATATATAAGCCAGTGTTTAATCACCATATGTATTGACGGTTTACTGCGCGCAGTGTTCCGTTTTGTTTCGTTCATAATTCGGTACAATTTGTGCCGAGTCCATTGTACAGATTCATTAAAATGCAATTGACAATGAAAATTATACGGCAGCATTTTTCAAAAATGCAGTCTATAAGTCTCAGTGATCGCCAGTCTTTGAACAAGCAAAATATACGGCGATTGCTATACAAGCGCAATACAAGTGCAATTTACGCTCACTCTGGTATTCATCTGCTTGAAAAAGAATAAATTTTTTGAGTCATTATTCATCTCCAGGAAGTGATCATTATGAGCATACATATAGCCTATAGTATGTCTATGCGGCCTGAATAAACACAATAAACTGTACACCTGGCATAGAATTACTTGAGCCCCCATTATCGTGATCATATTGATCGATCAAACGTCCAGGGTTGTGTGAATAAAACAGAACTTGCAATGAACAACCAGTCTTTTGAGCAATTCAATAGCGCCAATAATTTATTAGACGAGTGTGCCACACGCTAGAATTGAATTATTTGTAGTTTATTGAAAACCATACATCCATGCTGAAGTGAGGTTTTTTAAAAAATGAACAGGAATTTTTTTTAGCAGTTATCGCATTGCGAATCAATGAAATGAAAAATAAGCGAAATTTTAAACCGGGTGGGAAATGTAATACTAATTACATTTAATGTAATTAGTATTAGTAATGTAATTACATTTAATGTAAGTGTATGTAATGTAGTATAAATGTAAATACTTTCAAGATTAAGGCAACCTGATTTATTTAATTAAGAACTTCCATGGTGTTCCTTTCTGGATTAACTGTGAACGCAAATATTCTTGGGTGATTTATTATTGATTGGATGTGAAAATTGGCAACTGGGCGAGGCTGGTAGCTCACGTCTGAGAGGTTAGCTGTGTGCCTATTGAAATGACTTTGTATATAATTGCTTCTCAGACCATTGCCATGGGTGACACTATCTGAGGAATGTACAGTGACAAACCTTGAACAAAAATGTTCTTGGCTTCAATCACTTTTTCAAAAACAATGATCAGGTTTAACGAAATAAGTTATTTAAGGAAAAAATCATGTGAATTAATCATTAGGATTTTAATTTTTATCTGAAGTAAATTTAAAGATAAGCTTATGAATAAAATGTGATCTATTAACAGTAAGTTCTGTTTTAATAACTTCATGAAAACAGTGCGGAAAAATACGATCGTCCGTCTACCAGAAGAAGAATTTATTACAAGTTAAAATGCGTTTAGATAATAATAAGGCTAATATGAGCAGGGTGTACCGAATATTATATTTAACCAGGTTGGTCTATTGACTGGTAATGACGACCCCATTAATCACAGGTGCTGAATTTGCCAAGCATCGTAACTAATTGTTTTATAATCGTATAGTTTGAAGTTATTAAAGCTAACGGCTGATATAAAATTGGCATATACAAAGGAGGACTCAATATTAAAACAGATCCCAACGTTACACATGGATGAACTTTTATTAACATAATTGATTTTGATAACTAATAACACCATATAGAACACCGAGAATTTCGTCCAGAATCACGAGCTCACTCCAGCGTCCAGGTTAACTCATGACCCACACCACAGTACTGCCATTCGCGCCTGTGCGTCGCTTCCGTCTTGCAAGCGAGAACTGATCTGAGTGCCGCCACATGCTTTTCAAATGCAAGCCCAGAGTGCTTAGCAACTACAAGCCTGGGCATGACTGCTGGCAGCGCTTTGCAACGACACGCTTGACACGACTCAGCGCGCTGCTGCTTTTGGGGTTCACAAAACTTGGTTCAAAATTGGTTGCGTAGCTCCAGAATTTTTAAAATCAACGTAACTTTTCTTGGGAAATTGTCATGGGAGATACTAAGTGGAGGTAGCAGGAAACAATCTTCTATTAATATTGAAACAAGTGCGTGCAAAAACCGAATACGTACGAAAACTTATGGTCTTAGGACTGGTAATGAGAGCCGCGGGACATCGAACAGGTTAGGCAGGTTCCTATGAGATCGCTTAATAGGTTGATCTTTCCTGCATTCGAAAATAAGATAAAAATTCTGAATTTATTCTGCTTATTCATGCTTATTTACATCCAATCTGTAGACAGTTCCAAAACTATGTTTATCCCCTATTAAAATAAGACAATGAAAAATTTCGTATATGAATTGTCATAAATTGTGCGACTTACGCGCTTTTTGGACATGTGATTTGGTTTTACGATTTATCCGTAACTTATTGATATGCCCGTCATTTCTCTATCTGTTTTCTTGATAGTTAAATAAATAGTGTGGTGAAAAACGAGCATGCTCATATTTGGAATGAAAATCCCGAATAATAGCAGTTCCGATGAAGGGGTTGTGAAGGAATAATGCTACACAGATGAGGGGAATTACTAAGCTATCACCGCACAAGATATTCTCTTCATCTCAAGCAAAGCAGATCGATGCTTCAATCTACTGACATATACTTATTAATTTTGTAGCCTAATTGTTCGCTCTGAGCGAAATGAATTTTCACATAATGCTAAGTTGCACTGTTAGAATCTAGCATTCTTGCTCAAATTATTTTAAACATAAATTATTGAAGTTCTTATAAAAAATATGGCCAGGACACATTGTATTGAATTGAATCGCATTCCTAAATAACCGTGGCCGAAAATAAAGCTGTCTTCTGTATAAAAGTGTAAAATCTTTCTAGGACCAGTTTCGCGTCACTCGTCTAGAATTATATCAGTTAAAACGTCATCCAAAGAAAGATTTTTTACGCCATTCACTGTTTTATAGCCGAACTTCTCCATAGTTTTCGTGCAGGCAGCTTCCACTTCCCACAACCCCTTGAGCGACAGCGTGTGAGTCCAGTGCAGCAGATGTTCACTGGACTTGCGGGAGGTGGTCCAGGCCGTGTTCACCTCTTGGTTCGTGTGGCTCACGACGAATTTCTCCATGGACGTCGTGAAACTAAGACCCACTTTCTCAGTGATGACCTGCGCCTGGTAGCTACTTCGATGGGAATTATGTGGCTGTAATAACGTAGGAAACCGTACTTTTAATTGAAATAATCATCAAGCAAAGGTAGAAAATTTTGAATGATATAAAATCAGCGATTTTAGATCCTATGCCATCATGTAATTATATTGGATTACAATGTCTAGGAATAAATTCCGATCTTGGGCGATGAACGAGCACCGCTTTAGTTAGATTTTTGACACTACCAGAAAACAGTGTCATTGAAACAGTGCCGTCATTTAAAAGTAGTGTCATTGAAACAGTGCCGTCATTTAAAAGTAGTGTCATTGAAACAGTGCCGTCATTTGAAAACAGTGTCATTGAAACACTGCAGTAATTTAAAAGTAGTGTCATTGAAACAGTGCCGTCATTTGAAAGTAGTGTAATAGAAACAGTGCCGTCATTTGGAAGCAGTGTCATTGAAACACTGCAGTCATTTGAAAGTAGTGTAATTGAAACAGTGCCGTCATTTGGAAGCAGTGTCATTGAAACACTGCAGTCCAAAAAACAGTGCCATCAAAACCTCATGATGAGTTTAGGACTTTGTAGTCCAAGATTAAGATGATGCTCCGCCTTTGTAGTCCTCCGTCTCCGAGACGTCGCTGGGCAGGACACCACGCCCTCGGGTCCCGGATGTAACGTTGAACGTCCGTCTATTTGCCTTTCTTTGGGCCAGCTGATGTAAGATACTGTTGCTTGTCACTTGCTGAGGGTAATTTCCCATTACTGGACAATCCGGGACCTTTCTCAACCACTTGTCCATTCGTCTCTTGAATGTTGCAAGGGTGAACTTCCCTCCTTCAGCGCTTTTGACAGGGCATTAAAGAGCCTCGGTCCTACCAAGGACAGTGGCAGGACCGAAAAGACGAAGAGTCTGTAGTATACAGAGTACAGTCGACAGAGTACAGACGAAGAGTCTGTACTCAGGCCGCGACTCGGTTAGTAAATGGGGGAATCCTGCACAGTTTCCCCTCCTTTCGTCGTAATGTCACTATTTTGGAGATCTCAATTTCAAAGTTGCGAGCTAGTTCGGTTATCATCTTCTCCTCTTCAATATATCCAGTTATCTCTCTTCTCCTCTCCAGTGAGTACAGTCCTAGGTGTTTCGACCTGCCCTAGTAGTTCAGCTCCAGTTCCCTCATACTGCTGATCCTGGACGTGAAGGTCCGCTGCACTGCCTCCAGTTTCCGCACCGCACCCGCCTTGAGTGGCGCCCAAAATTGGCAGCAATACTTAAGATTGGGGAGCACAAGGGCTCTGAAGAGTGTAATAATTGGTGCTGCTTCTCTCGTTTGAAATATTCGTTATATCCACCCCATCCGCTGTCTGCTTCGTGCGATTATTCTCTCGATGTGGTCATCGAATTTGGGGTGGTGGATGAGTACTAATCTTCGGTACTCATCAACACTCAGAGATCTCGAACAATCCTCAATTTCTGTGTCATACGATGCCAAGTAGCGATGTGGCATCCCTGTCTCTGTGCCGACTCTGTATTACTAATTACTTTGAACTTGGTGTCGTTTAACTGCACATTATTCACTATAAGACCAGTCGTAGATTGTCTACAAGTCATCCTGAAACCTCTCGCAGTTTAGGTTCTCTGTGATCCTCATCAGCACTACTGTATCGTCCGCAAATGGCTGTGTATATGCGTGAAAAAAAAACAGTGTCATTGAAACAGTTACGTCAAAAGAAAACATTGCTATTGAAACAGTGTCGTCAAAAGAAAACAGTGCCATTGAAACAGTGCCGTCATACTGTACACTGTTATTTAAACAGCGTCTTCAAAAATTGACATAAAAAGAAAATGGTTACGCCTTCGCTTTGAGAGCATTAAATCAAAATGTTTGTTCCTGAGTAAGAAATTCCGTATTGGTTTTCCGATTACTTGAATAAATATTAAATACAGGCAGTTATTTATTGGTAAGATCGAGCAAAACATTCCCACACTTAGTCAAGTTCATCTATTTCTCAAAGTGCTTGTGAATATTCTTTGTTATATCAAAGGTTGGCTACAGATCCAAATTGACTAAATTCACTGGCTTGAATGAGCTAAATTTCGTACAAGAGTAGCAGAATGACTTGAAGAAATTTCTTGATCTCTCTTTTGATCTGCACCATTCGGCCTGATGACAACGAATATAATAAGTATTTAAAAGCAAATAAACGTCAAGTTAATTAGCAACATCTTCAATGAAAACATTTTCATTAATAATTGTACTTGAATCCCATAAAGTGTTTGAACCGATGATGGAGCCAGTCTCTGAAAAGTTTGCAGTGTAGATTAAATGAAAAAATTTTCTCATTTATGGAAAAATGCACTTGTGCTCGCCATGTCCGTCTGTCCGTCCGTCTGTCCGTCTGTCTGTCCGTCTGTCTGTCCGTCCGTGCCTTCAAGTTTTCGTCGACGAGAAAATGCGCTCTCTGTCACTCACTGCAGTGAGTACTGAGTTATAACTTATATTTTTTTACTTTAAACTCTTGGTGAACATGTGAGTTAAGCAGACTATAATGACATAAGCAGAAATGTAACAAATAATCGATAGTGTTGGACCATGTGAATGGAATTGTTTCTTGTTTACTGGGTATATGCATACTGGATATATACAAATTCAGTTTCTTATATATATGTTGGGGAGGAAATTCGCGAATGTAGCTCTAGCATGGGACTCGCAACAGAGAAAATTTTAGACCTACTAGGAGTTACTGAACATAACAATACCTGCTTGAGTTAATCTATTTTTTATAAATGAGGTCGTTTATATTATTATCGATACAATCTACCGATTTGATTTTCAATTTCTTTAACTTTAATCTCCGATTTTGTACGGCAACTGAGCTATTAGCATCAGCCTCAACGCAGGTGCATTTGTGGCACAGAAAAATTAGACATAGGAATAATATTAATAACCTTAGTTAATGATCATCATAGGTCAAATAATGGGTAATAAAACCAAAGTCTGAGTCCCGACTTTACCGTGACTTTTGCATCAAGTTGGCGATCGTTGCTAAAGTTGCAGATTTTTGCAATATTCCTAATTTTTTAAAGACTATTCAATATCAATAAGAACTGCCCTATATATTTCAAATCAAGCTTCATAGAAAAACAGAATACATCTAAGCATAATGTTTTTGACTATAAAATATGTGAAGTCTATTTTTAAATGAAATTGTATCAGCGATGAATGTTTTTCTCGCTCGGAAATTTAAGTCAAAATGATCCACTCGGACCAGTGTCAAAATATGTGATGCTTAAAAAATATTATTTTGCTCGAGTTATTCAACTCGGTTCAGTGGATAAAAGTGAACTTTTTTATTTCGTGCAAAATTGCCTGGTTTAAGTCAATCCAAGGACAAAGGGCGGGCTTAAAAACTATTTAAATAAAACGTATATATTCCAGACATAGCCTGTACTCATGCCATATATTAATCGCGACTGAGTTTTGAATATATATACATGTATATATATTAAAATATATATATGTATATTATGATATATATCATAATATATATATTATGATATTTGTATATTTAGGGTAGAGCCCTCATTTAAACATGTTTGGTTAAAAAAATATATTAACCTACAGGTGGCATTATTCTTAACCAAACATCTTATGATATATATATATTATAATATATATATTATGATATATAATCCGCCCTCAGCAGGCCACCCACCTGGAGGGCCGAGACCTGCGGGGAACTCCACGGGACCGGCCGCCCCCCGTACAGGCGCCCCAGCTCGTCACGGGGCAGCGCCCGCACCTCCCGCGCCACCCGTGACTGGGGGGCAGGGGAGAGGGGTCAGGTGTGGGGTATGTGGTGGTGGTGATGGTTGTGGTGGTGGTTGTGCTGGTGACCAAGTTAACTAAAATTTGAATTTCTAAATAAAAAGCCACATTTGAATTTCTAAATAAAAAGCCACATGCCGATAACTTGAAAGGACAATTTTGGATACCACCTGAATAAAAAAATATAACAGGAGTGGGAATACTCAGATGCGATGAAATTTAATTGAAATTAATTAATGAGATGGCCGCTAGTGTGGATTTTTAGCGCGAAAACATTTCCAATGTCATCATCTTATGACCTTAATATATAAACTTAAAGACGAATAACTGAATGACGCGTTGCAATAAAATTATTTTGATTTTCTCATTATCTCATTAATATTTTCTTATTATCTCATTAATGTTTTCTCATTATCTCATTAATAACACGAGCTAAGACTGCCTTCAGTAGTGCTAACTATACGAAGTATCGTTGACAAACGACAACGAATGAATGTATTTAATTTAAAGTATAATACAAGTTGATCATCACTATTAATTTCATAATGATCATCTTAATGATGGTCATTATTAGGTAAATATAGTAGTTAGCTACAGCGAGTGTGGAGAGGGCGGAGCGGACTGGCTGAGCCACATGGCTGACATGGCTGATGTTGGCTGCCAGCTCCGCCAGCCTCCTCGTGATGACGTCAGCGATTCTCAAACCGTTCTGTGAACCGTGATGAACATGGAACGTGTATAGACTGTGAACCGTGATGAACATGGAACATGTATAGCCTATGTACCGTGATGAACATGGAACGTGTATAGACTATGAACCGTGATGAACATGGAACGTGTGTAGACTGTGAACCGTGATGAACATATGGAACGTGTATAGACTGTGAACCGTGATGAACATGGAACTTGTAGAGACTATGAACCGTGATGAACATGGAACGTGTATAGACTATGAACTGTGATGACCATGGAACGTGTGTTGACTGTGAACCGTGATGAACATGGAACGTGTATAGACTGTGAACCGTGATGAACCGGAACGTGTATAGACTGTGAACCGTGATGAACATGACACGTGTATAGACTGTGAACCGGGCTGAACATGGAACGTGTATAGACTATGAACCTTGATGAACATGACACGTGTA